CAAGTGTTAAAAATGTTTAAGAGAGAGAATCAGAGAGGAGAAAAAGGGGGTTACATGAGGCACCTCTGTGGGTCCTTCCCTATCTGCCTCTAGTGTTGAAACCCCAGACATGTTTGAGGATTTCACGGTAGAACAGACTTCCATTCTGCATTCTCCCTGGAACCCGGGAGAAGAAAGTCCTGAGACAGCCTGCGTCAGCCACAGTGGAACAGAGATGAGGCATGCTGGCTGATGCCTTGGTACAGTGGGCCTCAGAAGAGCTTGGGTTTCCACACACTGTTGCCTCTCATCAGCTTCCATTTTCTGTCCCCTGAGGTGCATGGCATAGGGATTGGGCTGGGGCACACTGTAAGATTTAGTCTTGTCCATTTAAAGTACTTACCACATCTGCTGCTTGCTCAGGCTCAGCATATGACTAGGTCTTTCCGGGTTAGGGTAAAATACAGGACTGCTAGTTAAATTTGAATTTCAGATAAAAAAGGAGTGATTTTTTTTTTTAGTATGTCTTGTGCAACATTTGGGACCTCATCATACAAACAATTATTTATTTGAAATTCCTGCATTTTATTTGTCTAGTCTGGCAACCCTACTTGGAGTTCTCCTTCCTTTCTCCCCTTCCTCCCTTTGCAGTCACAGCATGTCAGCAGGGGTGAGCGCGCATGTCCCATCCCTGGTGGTTTCTTCTCCAGAGGCCTCTTTCCATTTTGGGCAGCAGCTTCTCCTCTTCCTGTACCTTTTCTCATTGTAATTTGCAGTCTGTTCAAAGCACGATTGGGGCTTGGGGCCTGGGGTCCTCCTGCTGCTGGCTGTGGCCTTCTTCAGTCAAATCTCACCATCACTGACATTGTTCTGATGTCTCTGCAGCAGTTTTGGTTTGGCTTCTGCCTTGGGATTCCTTTGCCTTACTTCTCAGCTGCTTCTACAGCCCTTCCACGGTACATGGGAACTTTCCCAGACCTCTCAGTGTTCTACTAAACCTGAAGGCTATCTTTTTCTCTCCAGCTCTTCTGGAAATCCAATGTGGATCTTGAAGGCATAGTCTCATAATCTGTAAATCCTTTTTAATCCTTTTCCTTTCTATGTGTTTCATCCTAAGCATTTTTTGTTGTTCTATTTCCTAGTTCACATACGCTTTTATTTTTGAAGTGTTCTACTCTGCTATTAAATATATGCATTGTCTTAAATTGTTATTGTATTTTTTAATTCTTGAATTTCCATTTAGTTCTTTATTCTCTAGTTTGCTCGTAAAAGTCCTCATTTTTATTTGCTTCATCTTTTCCTCCATTTGCTGGAGATATGAATCATAGTTATTTTAAAATCCTTGTCTGTAAATTTCACTAACTAAATCCCTATGACTTTGGTTCTGTTGTCTGTTGTTCTCATAACTTTCAGTCACTTAGCTCTTTTAGTGTGCCTAATGTCTTTTATTGAATACAGACATCGGCTATGAGAAGCTGTAGAGCTCTAGGTGATGTTATCTTTCTCCAGGGAGGATTCATCCTGTTCTCGGCAAAGCAGAGGCTTTGTTCATCTTAATCAAATCAGGGATTTGAGGCAGAGTCCTTTATTTGGAGCCTGCCAGGAATTTCAACTGAGAACCTGGGTTCACCAGGTCCTTTCTACTGGGTCCTCAACTCCAATCTTTGTGTCCTTGGATGGACAAGACTGTACAAAAAAAAAAAAAAAAAATCCTCTTTTCATCTCTCTGCTCAGCTTCACAGCCTCCAATTCTGTAGTTTCAGAATTTGGCAAACATCTTGAGAAAACCAGCCATGTGTCAGACAATGTCTATAAAGCACTTAGCATAGAGTTAGCCACAGAAATGGACTGCTGAAGAAAGAAACCTTGGCTCTGTGGAAAAATGTCCCTTTTAGTGGAGAGATTTAGTGATTATCATGTCAATCAATCAGTTGCCCCATGTCCTATAGAACAATCAGATAGTATATGTGATGTAATAATATTACTTCACCCATGTAGTATAACTGCTAAATGTTTTACCTGAATTAAATCATGAAAAGAAAATCAGGTTGGGCCGGCGCCGCGGCTCACTAGGCTAATCCTCCGCCTTGCGGCCCCGGCACACCGGGTTCTAGTCCCGGTTGGGGCGTCAGATTCTGTCCTGGTTGCCCCTCTTCCAGGCCAGCTCTCTGCTGTGGCCAGGGAGTGCAGTGGAGGATGGCCCAAGTGCTTGGACCCTGCACCCCATGGGAGACCAGGAGAAGCACCTGGCTCCTGCCTTCGGATCAGCGCAGTGCGCTGGCTGCAGCGGCCATTGGAGGGTGAACCAACGGCAAAGAAGACCTTTCTCTCTGTCTCTCTCTCTCACTGTCCACTCTGCCTGTCAAAAAAAAAAAAAAAAAAAAAAATCAGGCAAACCAATTATGGAATATTTGATTGTATAACCAACTCCAATCCTTAAAAAAAATTGCCAATATTTTGAAAAACAAAACCAAAGACAGCAGAATGCTTTTGGTTAAAAAAGCTTGGGGACATAGAAATCAGATGCAAGTGTAAACCTTGTTTGGATCCTGAATTTTAAAAAATCTATAAAAGATACTTTGGAAGCCACTGGGAATTTCAATATCTCTAAATTAGATGATATTACTGAATTAATTTAATTTAGACACGATGATTTGAGGCTGATGTGGTGCAGCAGGTCAGGCCGCTATTAGTGAGGCAGGCTTCCCATATCATAGTGCCAACCAGAGTCCTGGCTGCTGTGCTTCTGACCCAGCTTTCTGTTATTGTTGACTGGGAACGCAGTGGAGGATGGCCCAGGTGCTTGGGACCCTGCCACCACTTGGGAGACCAGGATGGAGCTCCTAGCTCCTGGCTTTAGCCTCACCTAGACCTGACTATTACAACCGTTTTAGGGTTGGATGGAAGATCTGTTCCTCTCTCTCTGTTACTCTGCCTTTCAAATTGATAAAAAAATAAGTCTTTAAAAAAGTGGTGACACATTTTATATAGGAAAGTGTACTTATTGTCAGGGAATGCATGCTGAAGTATGTAGGGGTGAAGTATCATGTATGCAACTTATTTCCAAATGTTTCAGCAAAACTAAATAAAACACAGGTAGAAACATGTTAACAACTGCGATATCTTGGTGGGTGGTATAAATGAGTTGTTTGATTTTAACTTTTCTATGCAGTTTTTCAGAAGAAAAACTTGGGGGAACATTCTTGGCACTTCCTCCGAGCAATACATCCTAAGCTTTAAAATCCATTGAGTAGGCCGGTGCTGCGGCTCACTAGGCTAATCCTCCGCCTTGTGGCGCCGGCACACTGGGTTCTAGTCCCGGTCGGGGTGCCAGATTCTGTCCCGGTTGCCCCTCTTCCAGGCCAGCTCTCTGCTGTGGCCAGGGAGTGCAGTGGAGGATGGCCCAAGTCCTTGGGCCCTGCACCCCATGGGAGACCAGGTGAAGCACCTGGCTCCTGGCTTTGGATCAGTGCGGTACGCCGGCCGCGGCGGTCATTGGAGGGTGAACCAACGACAAAGGAAGACCTTTCTCTCTGTCTCTCTCTCTCACTGTCCACTCTGCCTGTCCAAAAAAAAAAAAAAAAAAAAATCCACTGAGTAAACATTTACTGAATACCTTTTTTGTAGCACATACTCTTGGAGGTAATGGAATGTGGTGATGAATTAAATTGGTAAGATCATTCTCTTTTTGTTTGCTGAACTATAATATGGAGGTGCAATAAGAATACAATGCTTGGTGCAGAACAGGCACTCAATGAATGCTGGCTTATAATTAATCAGCTTTGTCCATTGTTGATCTAATTTCACCCTTTTTTTAAAATTTTTCAAATGTAAATAAAAAAATGCGATCTTCCACCCTTACTCTTCTTCCCAATCCATTTCCTGGTGTTACTATTCATCTACTTTTTGTTAACATTGTTAGGGTATTTGAAGTCTTGGAGAGAAGACAAGGTATAACATCAAAGCAAAGGTGAAGTTAAAGTGGTTAGGGGTATGTCATGTTTTACAAATTGCGCATATACATATTCAAGTATCCTAAGGTTTAAAGTTTATATTTATATAGATTTTTATTCATGTTTATAACCTTAGGGAGTGGTTTAAAACTGGGTTATAAACTAGAGACAATAACAAAGCTTTCTAAATTTATTTTTTTTTTAAATGCTAGCACTTAAGCTGATTACAAATTAAAATACACTATAAGTTCTCTAGTACTTTTGCCCACTAATCTTGCTTCTTTACACACTGGGTGTACTTGGCAGGTTATTTTTATCTAAGAGTAAGTGCACGCCTTCTCCCATTCTGCCCCACCCACTCAGGTTCTCAGATGCTAATGGCCTGGTCTGATAAATGCACAGGTCACTCTAAGCCCACACCACGTAATTCATCATTAAGTTCTGAAGTTTTCCTTTCAGTGTAAACTGTGGTCATAGATTATAACTTATTAGAAAGAGTTATTTTCATGTATTAGTAGTAAAAATATTAAAGTTTATTTATATAATTTGCACAGGTAATACTTAAAATTAGGCTAATCCAGTAATTTAAAATAAACGATATTTTGAAGTTGTTTGTTTTCAAGTGTTTATTTAAAAAACATAACATTTCTACTTTCCTAATTTTCCTTTTTACAGCTTTGGAGAAGACTAGAACAATTATTCAAGAATTAATATCAAGCACCTCATATATTTTAAGGGCTGTACATTGCATTTCAGTAAATCTTGTCCACTAACAACACAGTAAATTATTTTTATTATACATTCATGGTAGGGATAAAATAAATAATTACATAAATAATTTAACAGATCTTTATGGAGTACTTACTATGTACTAAGTTTTGGGAACACAAAAATAAATAAAAAACAGTCCCTGCCATTAAGAAGTTCACAGTGTAAAGGGGCAGAGAGACAAATAAAAGACAATTTAATGTAGGATGACGGCTTTGCCAGCAGAATTTATAAAGAACTACAGGGACCTTACCAGGGTCACTTAATCTAGATTATTAGATTATTAGGGATGGTTTCTAGGCCAACGTAATACTTTTTTTTTTTTTTTTTTTGGAAACCCGGAGTCACTTCGTGGCAACCAACCAATTTTTTTTTTTTTTAATTTTTTTTTAAGGTTTATTTACCTATTTGAAAGGCAGAGCCACAGAGAGGCAGAGGCAGAGGCAGAGAGAGAAAGAGAGAGAGAGAGAGAGAGAGGTCTTCCATCTGCGGTTTACTCCCCAGATGGCTTCAATGGCCGGAGCTGTTCCAATCCAAAGCCAGGAGCCAGGAGCTTCCTCTGGGTCTCCCATGTGGGTGCAGGATCCCAGGGACCTGGGCCATCCACCACTGCCCTCCCAGGCCACAGCAGAGAGCTGGATTGGAAGTGGAGCAGCTGGGACCTACGTGGGATCCTGGCACTGCACGGGGCGGCTCCAACCACAATGCCACAACACCTGGCCCTAGCCAATATAATTTTTTACAAAAGATTTTGAAGAAAGGAATTAATGGTGCATGAGAAGAACAGTATAGGTATTATCAAGCAGTCTGTGTAAAGGAGGAGAAGTGAGAAAATCCCCCCCCCCCCTTTTTAAGATTTTATTTATTTGAGAGGTAGGGTTACAGAAAGGGAGAGGGAGAGACAGAGAGAAAGGTCTTCCTTCCGTTGGTCCACTTCGCAGATGGTTGCAATGACTGGAGCTGCGCTGATCTGAAGCCAGGAGCCAGAAGCCAGGAGCTTCTTCCCAGTCTCCCATGTGGGTGTAGGGGCGTAAACACTTGGGCCATCTTCTACTGCTTTTCCATAACAGAGAGCTAGATCAGAAGAGGGGCAGCTGGGACTAGAACCGGCACCCATATGAGATGCCAGCGCCACAGGTGGAGGATTAACCTTTTGCGCCACAGTGCAGGCCCTGAGACAATTTTCATGTTCAGGGAGCTGGAAATAGTTTGGTATAACAGAACTGAAAGTTACAGGAAGGGACAGTTGTGAGAGGAAAGACTAGAGACATAAGTCAGACTGTATCATTAAAGGCCTTATAGGCTTTGCTAGTGATACAATTTCTACCTGAGTGCAATGAGGAGTTTAAGTCAGGGGCTAATAGTTATTGTCATAATTCCAACTTCAAATAAGAACCAGAATTAAGTAATGAAGCAGAGATAAAGATGGAGAAGGGTTATATTACCCAGATAGTTGGATGCTAAGATCAGTAAGAACTGACTCTTGATCAGTTAGGGAGAATGATGGAGCAAAGTAAAGCATGGTGACTGTCCTGGAGCACTGGTAATTCAGAACTAGGGACTCTGTGGGATGATGAGTTCTGATTCAGGAGTTTGTGATTTAGCTAAGGATCCAACAGAGGGTGGCACATGTGTTTCTGGAGCGATCTTATCTTGAAACACGGACAAGGACAGCATCCATACCAACAATGGTGGTTGACACTGAAGAGTATATGGGATCACCCAGCATGTTTAGAATATGAAGAGAAGAGAGGACCATGGCCTGAACTTTGAGGGACCAGATGAAGAAAAGCGAGACTTTGAAAGAAACTGAGAAAACTGATTACAGTAGGAAAAGAAAAATCCCAGAGACTATAATCCCAAACCTAGGAGGAGGGCTTCAAGAAGTGAATGTTTATGTGCCAAATACATTAACAACTAAAATACATCCAATGGGAGTATAAGTCACTTGTGACTTGGATAACTAGTTTAAATCACATGAGTGAGGCAAGATTACAGAGGACTGAGAAATGAAGGACTATTGAGAAAGAGGAAGGAATTCCTTTTAGGAGGATATATAATTAGCAGCTCTAAGGATAAAGCAAGATTTGACACCTTAAGAAGTAAGATACTAATGTAAATAATGAATATTGCATACTTGAAAAATAGGCAAAAGACACACGGGGAGGGCTCGTACAGGTGAGCAGAACAGGAAAGGCTGTGACCAGGACCTCGAATACAAGTAGGGCTCTCCCTGCAGCCGTTTATTTCTCCTGTTGGCTACATACGCTCTTAATGGGTTCTGTTTCTCTGTGTGGTGAACAGTTTTATCACCAAAGAAGAAATGGCTTCTTTCTTCCAGCTCAGGGAAGGGGGCGGTTTGGGTCATGTTCCCGTCCCTACACCAAACGCAGAAGGTGGGGGAGGCAGGACACTGTATAACCAGCATAGGGAAGACTGAGAAGGGCGATTCCCCTCCGTTAGGGTGATCGCTACTAATACATAAAGGTGATTCAGTCAGGGGGCTGGACAAAGACTCGACACATCGATTACAAAAAACAGATAACAAATACCACATGTATTTTATGCTACCAGTAGCATATATTTATATGCTATTTATATATATATTTATATATATATATATATGCTATATATATGCTATTCAGTAGAATGCTGTATAGCTTTAATTTTCCCCATAGTTTCAAATTTTTCACAGTGCTTTCTTATCATTTATTTTTAAAAAATCATCGGGCCGGCGCCGTGGCTCAATAGGCTAATCCTCCGCCTTGCAGCGCCGGCACACGGGTTCTAGTCCCGGTCAGGGCACTGGATTTTGTCCCGGTTGCCCCTCTTCCAGGCCAGCCCTCTGCTGTGGCCTGGGAGTGCAGTGGAGGATGGCCCAAGTCCTTGGGCCCTGCACCCACGGGAGACCAGGAGAAGCACCTGGCTCCTGCCTTCGGATCAGTGTGATGCACCGGCCGCAGCGGCCATTGGAGGGTGAACCAACAGCAAAAGGAAGACCTTTCTCTCTGTCTCTCTCTCTCTCACTGTCCATTCTGCCTGTCAAAAAAAAAAAAAAATCATCAAGATATCCTCCTTTCTAGGTACACTTTTGTCAACAGGGCATGGACAGAAGAGAATGCCGCTGGGTCTAGAAATTATACTGATCAGCAGATGAACTGAGAATATGGCACAGGAAGAGACAAGCTAGAAGTCTTTAATGCCTGAATGGTAATCATAGGGAGGACTGGATCCGCCTAGACGTACAGAGTGGAACCAAGCAAACACTAGAGAGAGGTGGTCTTCAGTTCAGTGAGGAAAAATTTCTAAAGATCGGAGCAATCTTAGAATAACAGCAGACTGAAACGTGATGGAGATTCCATTACACTAAGTATTTGAGTTTGGACTGGCTGGACTGTCGGGGTTCCTTAGAGGAATTACTGAATAGATGCGGAGACTGGACTGTTTGATTTTCAAGGCTTCTTCCAACTCTATGCAGATCTCAAGGGAATCTGTATACAGTAGGGCATCTTTCTGATATTTGCTTACTTGTTAGATATGGGGTTCCTCTATATTTATTTTTTACTATAGAACACACTTTAAGAAGAAACCCCTGCACTTTTTACTGTGGTGTTGACCAGAGATTCAGAGTGAACAGCCTGCTACAGTGAGTATTATCTCATCTGGTTTTAAGAAAAAGAGAAACAAAATAAAGTTTACTGGAAATTTATAAGTTTTTTAAAAAGTCAAGTGTTAAGGGTTCTCTAAAATATTATTTTTCTTTCTTTTCAATATAAAAAGAAAAACAAAACAAGAGCTCCAAGTCCTCTGCCTTGGAATTTAGGAGCAATACACTAGATGGTGCTATAAGGCTGTCAGAAAGTTTTACCACCAGTAAGCAGTGTGCCCCTGCTGGTAGCAATTAAGTATTCTGAAAGCTTTCCATAGATTTTCAGCTCCTGCAAGCAACCCTGGATTTGTAGTAAAGTAATGGGAAAAGCTTCATACCTAAAATAAGATTAATTTGAAACTAAACCATAGGTTTGACATATTTTAGAACAGTTTCACTATTTGGCAATTCAATCTGAATTCCATGGAAATAGAAATTTTAAAGTTACTGAAATGCAAATTCACGGAAATCTGCTGTTAATTTCACTTGGCTAGTTTTCCCATGAGACTGATTATTTCTACTACTTGATGAATCTTTAAGTCAGTTTCTTCAGGTGGCTTCCTGAGTTTTCAAATAATCATTAAGCAGAAAACACCAATCAAATTTTATCATTGAAAGTACTGACACACTAACACAAAGACATGAAACAATACATTCTGAAATTATTCCATCAATATTTCTTATGAAAATAACATTTCATGATTTTCCACATTAAAATAAACTCAGAAAACTATTTTTTACTAAAGTGCAAAAAATAAAAATAAAGTTTTACCATGATAATACTTTTTGTTTTCTTTTAAATATTAACTATTAGAAAGGTGACAGAAAATGGGCAGTTTAAGATGTACCTTTTGCAACAATCTAAGAGTCATTTTAGTTTTAAACTCTCCAGGTTAGGAGATCTGTTTCTGATTTTTCTGGTTATCTTTCCAGCTCTGCTTCTAGAATCTCCCCCCATGTATCTGCATCCATGGGGTACATGATTTTCTCTGGAAGGCTAACTGGAGAACTTATGTTGCTGTATCTGCCACTTAGCCATTCATGTTTCACTTTACTCTTCTGGTAATTCCTTAGTAGTATTACCTGCAAGAGGTAAACCATCATCATTAAAAAAAGAACGCAATAGTGGTTGGTTAGTGAATTTGTTTGAAACTAGAAAAGCTGACTGAAGGGGCTGAAAAGAAGACTGAAGATTCACACTGACACATATATTAATAAATTTATGTGAGTGTGTATGAGTACAGAGTGAGCCAGAATTTACTGGAAGTTCTGGATAATGTGGAGTGAAAAGAAGTAGCTACTCTCCTTCTGGTTAACAGGGAAAAAAATGCCGAATTCAGGATCCAAAAAATGTAAAAGGATGGATGGGAGATAGATGGAGACAAAGTGGTTGGCAGGAAAAGAACAGTAACTCAACTTTAACCCATTTCCAAGTCAACACACTCTGTGCACTATTTGGCACATACAATCCTACCTTCTCCAAACAGAAGTGAGAACCGGCTGAAATCTGCTCCCACAGCATGTCATAAACACTACACACTGCACAGATTAGACTTACCCTCCAGGAATAGCCACGTTCCAGGTCGCCATCTATTTCTCTCTGGCACACAGTTCTTACAGTCAAGCAGTGAGGTTTCCATAAGGAGTCACAGTTTCTTATTGCATAATTCCAGCTCCTGCACGTCACTGACGCCCTGCACAAACTCCGAATGTCTAGCTGACTGAAAATTTTAAACGTGACTTCTAGAGGCAGCAGTTCAACAAAGTTATTTTGACTCTTGTTTCTTTCCTTCTCAGCATCCACAGAGTTCAATTCTAAGGCAGGAGCTCTTGAATTACTGTTCCTCTTAGAATTTTTCTGCATAGCTTGATGTTTTAGTTATCCTCATGGGCAACCTAAAAGGCAAAGGTTAAATACACTCAATCTCTTCAGCCCAGACTGTAACTCCTATCCCGAGTCAGATACTTTTTGTTTATGATTTAATGAACTGTGACTTTCTTGACACAGAAGCTGTGTGTTCCTGCAAAGATGAACAGTGATGACATGTGAGATACCCAGTCTCACATTTGAATTTCACATGGGAGGCACTCAACACAGGAAGTTAATCATGTTTTTAATAAACATTTTTGGCAAATGAATATGTTTCAAAATTTTTGGTTTTGTTCCCAAAGATTAGTATCTAAAAAAAAAAGAAAGAATTCTCTACACGCCTGATCATGTTTATTTGGTGGTGGCAATGCTTCTGTGAGAACACATTCACGTATTTATCACAAATACTTTAGAAAAATTATGAGTCAATAGCATTAAATTCCTGAATCCTTGCTGTTTGTGCGAAGTGATACTTAATCACTAAGCTCTTCAGCTGCAAATTCTGACTTAACCATAAACCAGCTAGACTTTATTTATATAAGAATTACCTATTCATACCTAATGTTTGGGTATTCACATTTGATACAAATACTATCTGAAATGGACAAGAGGATGAGATCTGGGTTATAATAATGCCAAATTTCAATTATTCAATGTTATTATAAGACTGGTATTTTGGAAATGGCTCCTTGAAGGTATGCTACAGGCGTTAGTTAATTATGAGCTACGGATGGGTCACTGAAGCTATCAAGCAACAGCAAGGAACATCTATAAACAATGTCTATAGCTCAGTAGCAGTAGCATCGATAAAGAATGTAAAAGTCCCATTTCAGCTAATTTACCCAAGGCTCCGGGTGCAGGCTCCTGAAATCAGTTGAAAGCAGACTAGGTGCATCACCCCTCCAGGGACACTCCTCGGCAGTCAGCTCCTCTACTCACAACCAGTTTATTCCATTTGGCATTTCCTTCCACGCTGGGAGGTGGTGACACGGAGGAGGAGTTTGAAATTCGGCTAAATGCTTCTTTTAACTCAATGAGTAACAACGCAGATGCGCTACTCAGGCATATGTTTCAGGATGTGTCTCTCATTCACATCGCGGCTCTCATTCAGCAGGCTGTTTACGATCCATATTAGCCGCGGTGGTTGGAAGGGAGGAGTCTTCGTTCAACAGAGGACTTCCTCTCCAGGGACAGGGGGAAGTAAGAAAGCAGGTAAAAACAAGAGCAGGAGTCAAGAGCAAGTTCTTGCCACACACCTTCCTCCCTCCCATCATCAACAGAAACCAAAGCCAAAGCGCCACGTTCTCGGGTAGAATCTCGCATTAGGAGAGCGTTTCGGTGCGTTTCGGGGTTTGCCACTTCGCCCAGGAGCTCACTGGGGAATTCTCAATCCACAACAGGGGCTGCCGTGGCGAGGTCCCCGGAATCCACTAGGATGCCCGGAAAACTACCTTTTCCCTTTATGAATCAACCTTTGCTGAATTACCTCTCCAGTTAAGAGAGAGCTCGTCCCCCTCACCATGTCACTCGGAGGGGTGGGTCGGAGGCAGCGCATTCGGAGGGGTGGGTGCCGCTCGGCTCAGGCTGGCTCTCAGCGGACCCCACTCCACCTGGACCCTGCAGGTCGGGGCGGGGGGAATGACCCCACGTCCCATCTGAGCCACCCTCCTTGTGTGCCCGACAAGGCTGCAGCAGCTGCCCGAGTCCTAAGAACACCAGGCACTGACAAGATACACCGTCAGTGCTGTCACCACGACTCCACGCCGCTAAAAGACGGCTGGGCTTGCGTCCGGACCGCGCCCCTGAGCGTGCCGGCACCTTCGCTACCCGGAAGGGAAGACCCTCCTACTTACTGGGCCGCGGTGACTTTTCCTCCCGCGGTTTAAATCCTCCGAAATTCGAATCCCTCCCCATCGTCCACCACATCCCGCCCACTCTAGCGCCGCCCTGTGACCTCGATTCGCACAGGCGTAGAGGGGATCGCGCACTGCTTTCTGGGATTGTAGTTTTTCTAGGGCGTCTCAGCTCAGGAAAGGCAGAAAGGAAGGGACTACAATGCCCAGCATCCTCCGGGCCCGCGGGGTGGTGAGAAGGGATGGGGGGGGTATAAGCCGGGGCTTTTAAACAATAACGCGGAAGACGTGGTGGGGGAATTCCCTAGTGCGTCACTGGCCCAGGTGGAGGGACGGGACTCCGGAAGCAGCCCCGGGGCCTCTGCCCTGAGAGCACAGAGCATTTCTGAGCCGGGTCTTCACTCCTGTCACCCCCGTGTCTTTCCGGGGGCCTGGGCATGCCTCGCGCGTGTCTGTGGGAGGCGGAAACGGCTGCGGGGGCCGTCTACTGGCGAAGGGGCCTAGTCCTCATCCGCCATGTCCGGGGGCTTCGAGCTGCAGCCGCGGGACGGCGGCCCCCGGGTGGCCCTGGCGCCCGGGGAGACGGTGATCGGCCGCGGGCCACTGCTGGGAGTAAGTGTGGGAGGGGGCTCGGCTGGCCCGGAGAGCCCTGCGAAGACCCTCCTGGCTAGGCCCTGCCTCCGGCCCTGGCCACATTCCCCACCACGTCGATCCTGCCTGTCTGCACTTTAGACGTTTGGGGGCAGCAGTTTTTCAGTCCAGTGTAATCACCCACAAACAGTTATTAATGTTGTCTTTGAAAAGCACCTGCTGTATTGTCATCTTATCCAGAGGTTGGCAAACTGTGGGGAGGGGGATGGAGGGTGGGGGCGCAAACCAAGCCTGTGGCTGTGTGGGCCAGTAGACTCAGAATGGTTCTTAAAGTTTGAAACGTAAAATGTAAACAAACAAAAAGCCTATTTGCTTTTCGGGAAGAATGGCTGCACCAAAGGTGGAGAATATTGTGTCTTGGCCTGCGAAACCCGAAGTATTTACTGTAGTATCTGGCGCTTTACAGAAGAAATTGACGAACCCGTGAACTTGCCTCTTCCAGGCTGAATTAGGCTCTGGCCTCTTTCGCAGAACTGCAGGGGCCTTTTATTACAATAGTGTTTTCCGGTAATATCCATGGCTAACTCTAAAATAGTGTGTATAGTGTTTCACGGTTAAATAGACTACGTAGGCCAACTTCTTTAATTCTTTCAAAACTTTCTTTCAAGACTCTTTGCACTCTTTTATCTTTATTGTTCAGATGGGAAAAGTGATCCACAGATCATGTAAAGGTCATATAGAAACTTTAGGACTCATAGTAGCACCAAGTTATATATGCTTTGTACTGTCTTTGGGAGGTAAAGGAGTCAGAACATTTGTATTGCCTACTGGAAGGCTGTAGTTCTCACACTGTTAATCTGTTTGACACCCAGTCTTTTCTGTTGGCACCCACTTTATGGAAAACCTTTAGCAGATGGTGAATGAGATGTGGACCCCTTCTCTGGGCATCTTCTCTTGAACTGGTCATTCTGTGTCCGCCAATACCAGGGAGCAAGAAGTGTGGGCTGTTAACCCTGGTTAACTGCCAGTGCCTGGGGGGCCCACGGGTTTCTGGGAGGGCCCTTCTGGGAGCAGGAAAAGGAGTGGTAGTTTAAGGTTGTCTTGTGGAAGTTGGACCTTTAGTGGTGAGTGTGTCTGAAGGTTGAAGTTCACATGGTGTTTAGTTTTAGCTATTTAAATGTGTAACATCCTATTATTTTCCATAGTTTATTAACCATAATAACATATGAAAGAACTGCCTGGGAGATTTTTTCTTTTCTTTTAAATCCCCTGGTTAGAAAGCTTCATGGAGTATATGCTTCACCTGACAGTCATATGTCTAGGAACTAACGAGTTTTAACTTGAAGTCCTGTCACCAAAGCAGAGTCCTGTGGGTCTGGTTAAAAGGTTATTGGATTTTAGGCCTGTGCAGGCGACTCGGTGCAGATCCTTGCACTATTCGTACCTTGTTCTTTATATTAAGAGCTTGCTAATGTGAGATGAACCAGTTTTCTGTTTTTGAAAATGTTAAGTTGGGGGCTGGCATTGTGGCACAGCGGGTTAAGCTGCCTTCTGCAGTGCTGGCATCCTATATGGGCACCGGTTCAAGTCCCAGCCGCTCTACTTCTGATCCAGTTCCCTGCTAATGCACCCGAGAAAGTGGCGGAAGATAGTCCAAGTGCTTGGGCTCCAGCAACCTCATGGGAGACCTGGATGAAGCTCCTGGCTTCTGACTTCGGCCTGATCCAGCCCTGGCCATTGTGGCCATTTGGGGAGTGAACCAGCGGATGGAAGATCTCTCTCTCTCTCTCTCTCTCTCTGTCCCTTCCTGTCTCTGTAATTCTGACTTTCAAATAAATAAATTGTTAAAAAAGATGTAAAGTTGTAAAAGTTGGTCAGTTATCAGGGGTTTGCTTTTCCTTTTAAAATAAACATTTAGCCGGCTCCGTGGCTCACTTGGCTAATCCTCCGCCTGTGGCGCCGGCATCCCATATGGGCCCCAGGTTCTAGTCCCGGTTGCTCCTCTTCCAGTCCAGCTCTCTGCTGTGGCCCGGCAGGGCAGTGGAGGATGGCCCAAGTGCTTGGGCCCTGCACCAGCATGGGAGACCAGGAAGAAGCACCTGGCTCCTGGCTTCGGATTGGTGCAGCACCGGCCATGGCAGCCATTTGGGGGGTGAACCAATGGAAGGAAGACCTTTCTCTCTCTCTCTCTCTCTCTCTCTCTCTCTTTTTCTCTGTCTGTAACTCTACCTGTCAAATAAACATTTAGTAATAAGATTCTATTGCTAAATTTGGTAGATATTAAAAGTGGTTATGGATGACATCAAAGAAAAAAATGAGGAACAGGCAAATCACCTTGTAGGTTTTCAGAGTTTGGAGCTGACAGGTGCACTTGTTTCTCTTCTGTGGTGTTGAAACACAAGGTGAAGGTTGCTGTTTCAAAGACAGCAGTGCCAGTGAGAATTTTCTAGTATGTGAGAGAGAAGACTTACTTCTAAGTGGGAAAACTCAGGAAGTTCATTGTAAATTTCTGTGCATCAAAAATGATTAATATTAATAAGGATGGCTCTTTTTTTTTTTAATTTTAGAGGCAGATTTACAGATAGACACAGAGACACACACACAAACACATCTACTAGTTCACTTCCCAGATGCCTGTAACAGCTGCATCTGGAGCCAGGAGCTGCGAACTCAATCCAGGTGTCCCATGTGGGTGATAACGACCCAACTACTTGTGCTATCCCCAGCTGGCTTCCAGGGTCTGCACTGGCAGGAAGCTGGAAACAGGAGCTGGAGCTGGAGGTTGAACCTGAGGCACTCGGATGTGGGATACAGGCATCTGAAATGTTAGGTTAAATGCCTGCTCCAGTAAGGATGACTTTTGTACTCTACAACTTAATTGTCCATGTTTTCCTGAGAAAAGCTTCATAAACCTTGATTACCCCACAGCATAAAGGTTTATAATTTTGGGGCATAAAACTCTTCATAGTAGATAGGGGTCCATGTTGTGGCATAGTAGGTAAAGCTGCCACCTGCAATGCTGACATTCCATATGTGTGCTGGTTCATGTCTAGGCTGGTCCATTTCCAATCCAGGTCTCTGCTAATGGCAGTGGAAGATGGCCCACGTGTTTGGCCCTTGCCACCCACATAGGAGATCCAGAAGATGCTTCTGGCTGTTGGGGCCACCTAGGGAGTGAATGAGTAGAGAAAGATTCTCTCTTTCTCTCTGTCTCTCCTTTCTCTCTAACACTATCAAATGAATAAATAAATCTTAAAACAAAAGTTTGACAATGACAATGTCTTTTTGTCTTTACAGTGGCAGAAAAACAGCGGAAAAGTCTGTCACTTATAGGGACTTTCAGTAAAGAAGCAGTGCTACCAGCTTCAAAGTTTAAGAAGCAATGTTCGAAATGAATTGTTAATGCTATTCCTGTTTTGATTAATAAGTTACTAAATTCAGAAAGGGCCGAGGGGTGAGCATTTGGTGCGTGGTTATGACGCTGCTTGGCATGCCTGCATCCTATATCAGAGTGCATGGTCTGGAGTCCCAGCTCTGCTTCCAATTCCAGCTTGCTTCTAAAGTAGCTGGGCCCCTGAACCTATGTGGGAGACTTGGATGGAGTTCCTGTCTCGTGGCTGCGTCCTGGCCCATATCCTGCTTTTGCAGGCATTTGGAGAGTAAGCCAGCATGTGGAAGATCTGTCTCTGTCTTTCAAATAAGTAAAAACAAACAAGCAAACAAAAAAAAACCCAACTTGATGAATATGTACTGTAGTTGGTTGAGAAGAAATAAAGGGAAATGAAGATGAATGAGAAATCCTTGCTCTCTAATTTTAATAGGCATGAGAGACTGTATACGCATGTAAGTGAACAGGTTGTAATCGGAAATGAGGATTGGAGCTAGATAGTGCTTTATGTGAAGTGGGAGGGAGGCAGGAAACAGGACAGTAGTAAATGATGACCACTATACCTCAGGGTTGGAGAGGCCACAAAAAGGAGGCTCTGATTCAGTCCCTGCTGCTTGCCCCATTCCTATCTAGTAACAGATGTGTCATACTGTTGTGTTTTTATTTTTTTTTAGATATAATTCCTGATTTCTTTTTATTTATTTGAATTACAGAGAAAGAAAGAGGTCTTTCGTCCACTGGTTCACTCCCCAAATAGTTGCAATGGCCAAGCCTGGGCCAGGCTGAAGTCAGGAATTTTTTCCAGGTCTCCCATGTGGGTGCAGGGGCTAAGTACTTGGGTCCTCCTCCGCTGTTCTCCCAGGTGTGTTAGCAGGGAGCTGAGTCAAAAGTGGAGCAGCTGGGACTTGAACCAGAGCCCATATGGGATGCTGGCATTGCAGGTGGCAGTTTATCTGCTGCACCACAATTCCTGATTTTTAAAAGGTTACATTTAATGAAAAGTTTTGTTTCAGTATCGTAAGCCAAGCACAATGATAGCACATAATGCAGAGAAGTAGAAGAAGGAACCCACACTTAAGATGAGGGAACTTGGTAACACTGAGCTGGACTTTGAAGTGTTAGAATTCTGAGTTGGGATTTTGGTAGGTGGTCAGTGAGTTGTTTGGAGGGAAGGACTATTTAGGCTAAATGAATGATGATTTACAGCCATAAGATTTGAACCTGTATGGCATATTGGATGATTGCGTAAGTGCTGACTAGACTTGTGGGGTAATCACATTATATAAATGATCTCATTTAAGTTTACAAACATTGCTTTTTAAAATATGTTAATTTTGGAGCCAGCATTATGAAGTAGCGGGTTAAGTCATCACTTGCAGCACTGGCATCCATATGGGTGGCCAATTTGTGTCCCGGCTGCTTCACTTTTGATCCAGCTCCCTGCTAAGATGCACCTGGGAAGGCAGTGCAAAATGACCTGAAGGCTTGGGCTCCTGCACTCTCATGGGAGACCTGGAAGAAGCTGCAGGCTCCTGACTTCAGCCTGGCTCAGCCCTGGCCATTGTGGCCATTTGGGAAGTGAACCAGCAGATAGATGATCTCTCTGTCTCTGTCTCTCTCTCTTTGTAACTCT